ATATATATTAGATATATATATATATTTACATTTTATATATATATATATATTTACATTTTATATATATATATATGTTTGTATATATATATATATTTACATTTTATATATATATATAGATATATAGATATATAGATATATATATATGTATTATATATATATAAAATGTAAATATATATATAAAGTTTTAATTGTTGGATTGAATGACACATTTGACAGTTATATGTAACAGTATTACATATTTGGAAAATTGTGAATTCCAGTTTACATTATTGATGAAGATTGATCATATTGTTGATGAAGGTTAATAGTACCCTATTTGTAAGAGGGTACTGATCTCTCTGCTGTCTGCCTTCTGGCTGCAGTCACAAGTTGTCTTTGCCTGAGTGTCTTGAGCAGGAAAGCACCCAGTAATACCTATTATTTTGAGGTTGGAGGATAGGGTGCATAGAAATAAAAAGTCACTTTTAGATTACTTCTGTGCACTTGAAATATTGTGGAATGTTTCTCAAGTAACATTACAATTATATTATTATGAGTATAGTACAATAGTACATGTCTTACAAGGGAGGAAATGTTTCCATTTCCTTATGCCTGGTAGCCATCCAGGAATATTCCTAATAACCTTAGTGATTGAGTTGATTGGCAGCTTTTTTTGAGAAGTGTCTGTGATGTATGACAGTGATTGTTACATCTTTGTTTCATGGTATGACCTAAATATAATCTCAGTCACTTGTCTTATCTCAACCGCTCTGATGGGTGTGTGGCTTGTAGGTCAGGCGCACACAAGTCCAACAGCTTTATGTAATTGTGACAAGTCAGTCCCATAACCCATTTCTTCAGCCAAAGTTTCCATCATCTTAGATCATAGGGGATTAATAATTGATTGTTCACAATTGGATAAACAATGGACTTATAATACATTTATCCTTTTAGGAAACCAAAAGAAATTTTTACAAGAGCACTTGATTTTCTAAGGATTTTGTATAATGAAGCCTCCTTTTTTCTAATTTTCTCATAGATTATGAGATGATGTATAGAAAAAAAGTTTATGGAGTCCAGTCCCTCCTTAGTGGGAAACTCAAAAAAAATGGTAAAAGAAGAGAAAAATCTAATAATAATGAAGTAACTTGGTAAATTGTAGCATACTATGTTTGTGATTATCAAAAGCAGGTTAAGTTAACACTGTGCTGGAGAGATATCATTCAGTACCTGAAATATTAAATATTATAGTGCCATTCCATGAAGAACTAAGTAGATGATGTGACGATGATGATAACCAATTATCATACTGTTAATCAATGACATGAACTTTGATGTCCAACCTCTCTTTGGAATTTACTCTTACAATTACTTTCCTTGTTCCAGTTAACATGTCAGCCAATTAATCCCTCTTTAGGGTGTGGACATACACAAAAGTGGCTAAAACACAAAATTTATAATCAAAAACAGCCATTCTACTGCCGCTAGGTGACTACTGGAAACAGTTGTAACATGGATTTTCATTGTGTATGTTTATTGAAAGTATCAACATGTTATAGGCTTTTTTTCCTTGTAAAGCTCTAATGTTCACCACCAGGAGCAAATTTTCCCTAGGTTAGGAAGTTCTGAACATGATATATTTTGATAATAAGAAGTAGTGGGAAGAAGTAGAGCTTATTCTTACATAATATAGTTTAATGATTAAGATAAATTTGAGTGAGGACTGATCTGATATGTGTGATATACATATTGGGTTTTTGAGAGTTAATTACCACAAGGAAAATAAGTATACTTGTTTGTTAGTTGAAAAATTGTTAATCTTATTTTGAAAGAAATATATATCTTTGGAACTTTATTTTTTCTCTGTATTTTTAACTGTTTTAGAAGGACTATTTTCGTATTGCTTACTTATTATTTTTTTTATTTAAGAGCTTTTATTTTTTGAGATTGATACTGAAGTCACCAAAAAGAGTAAAATAAATAAATAAAAATTTTATCAAGTGAAATTCTTCTCTCGGCAATATCTAGTGTTTTCACTTAAATGAAATTGTCTTCACTTTGATGGATTTAATTTCCTTTAAGATTGTTCATTTATTTTTATCATTAAGTTCTAGTTACTTGTTCACTTGCCATGAGTAATGCACCAGAAAGTATTGACTTTTGAAAATGAATTTGCATTTGTGTCTTAGCTTTATGTAATTTTTCACAATGTTTTATTGATAACGTGTCTTGATCAGTAGACTAAATACGAGAAGCATAACCAAATATCCTTCCTTTGGCAGGTCGGCGAGGGCACTGGGCAAACGGCTGTCCTGAAGGAGCTTATTTTTAAGGAAGAAGCACATGGCCCTTGGAGGGGTGCACATAAATGAAAACATGAAATACAAGAATACCTGATTAGTGTAAAAAATTAAATAAGAGTTATGTTATTTTGATATGTATAATGTACCCCCTCTCTTTAGCTGTTAATCTATCTCGTTCTCTTCTCCTTCCTCTCCTTCTCCTCTCGCCCTGCTCCTGCTGCTGCTGCTCCTCTTCCTCCTCCTCCTCCTCTTCTGCTGCCTCCACCTCCTCCTCCTCCTCCTCCTCCTCCTCCTCCTCCTCCTCCTCCTCCTCCTCCTCCTCCTCCTCCTCCTCCTCCTCCTCATCGCCCTCCTCCTCCTCCTCATCGCCCTCCTCCTCTTTCTCATCCTCCTCCTCCTCTTTCTCATCCTCCTCCTCCTCTTTCTCATTGTCTTCCTCCTCCTCCTCCTCCTCCTCTTTCTCCTCCTCCCCCACAATAGATATTGTGATAAATAATGTTAGTCTGAAGATTTTTTCGATAACTTATGCTGTCTTTCATTCCTTTTCTTTATTATTTTTTTGTTATGTACATTATCCACCTTCTCTCTTAGAAGCAAGATTTTACAAAATGTAGAATATCACTTGCCATACATAGTTTTTTAGAATGGTGTCTGCCTTGCTCTCAGATCATTCTGCTCCACGTCACTGGGAGTTGTGCGGCCGTTCAGAAGGGCTCTTTGTGCAAATGCTAATTGCAAAGGATTCTCATGTACTCTACCAGTGACAGAGAATTATTTGCATGTTGGCGATCAGATGGTGCTCTAATTAATCGTGACACCAGTGTTTAGGTGCCAAGATGGACTAAAGTAGCGTTGTCAACCTTGATAGTATTGTTTAAGGTTATGACGTTGGATTTTAGTTATTTCATTCCTTGTTTTGTTTTTTTTTCCTTTGAACCAAGGGGAATTTCAGCAGTTGGAGAATGGTGTTTTTCATTATGTGTAATATTATTCTCATTCTTATTCTTATTATTAATTAATGATATTATTATTGTAATTATGAACTGTAATAATAATGATAATTAATAATAATAATAATAATATTAAAAATGATAATTGATAATAATGTTAGTAATGATAATTGATTAATGTTAGTAATGATAATTAATAATAAATGGTAATGTTAATTATAATGATAATAATGATAGTTATTATTATTATTATTATTATTATTATTATTTTATTATTATTAATTATTATTACTATTACTACTATTGCTATTACTACTTCTACTGTTGTTGTTGTTGTTATTATCATTATTATTATTATTATTATTATTATTATTGTTATTATTATTATTGTTATTACCCTCTTTATCAGCTTCATTATCATCATTCATCTGTTTATTTTTGTTGTTTATGTTGCCCTTGTTATTGTGATTATTAATTAGGCATATGTATTTTTTCATTCTTTTTGGGGGATAATTGATATGTCTTTGTCTGCGTGCTTTGGAATGAAGTATTGCTGTATTTTTATATATTAAAGAATGTGTTAAATATACATCCTAAAATAATGTGAGCATATCAGTATATACAGATTCTTGTTTTTTCTTGTTTTTTTTTTAATATCCCCATATCTATTTCTTGTCAATATGAATACAAAAATGAAATACAAGAATATATGTATGGAAAGCATTCACATTGCAGATACTAAGAACGAAAAGAAGTGAATGTCAGAACTTTTAGATGCTATATTTTGTACAAGATCTGAACTGTTGATCTTTGTCCTTTTGCATACATTGAATAGCAGGTTGCATCTGCGGTATTCAGTTTATAAATCATAATTTCTATAATTAGTATTATATTTTAAATGAGAAAGTTTTGACAGGTTATGATACTGATAAGCAGATTTTAATCATCGACTTTTATTATCACATATGAAATGTTTTGTATGAAGCCTTGAGGATCTCCTGAAAAATATGTGAAAAGAAATTAAAAGGAAATTAGAAACAAAACAAGCTTTGATTTTTTGCTGTATTGTAACATTATTTTATAGCGCAAAGTTAACTTTTGTAATTTTTCACATGCATACAAACTATCTCGCACTCACCAGTAAAAGGAAAGCTGAAGTTGAACTCCAATGAGGTTCTGTTTGAAGTTATTCTAACTGTCATAGAGTTAATCCCAGCTGTGCTTGGTTGCTGCTTTACCATGTAGGGATCATTTCTGACTGCTTGGAGTGCAAGGAGTAGCCGTTTCTCTGCAAAGGTTCTCTTCCATTGTCCTGCCTAATTACCTACCCTTCTGATCAAAGCCTTGGTGCAGTGAATATAATTTGGGTCTGGTTAGCGCTAGAGAAATTGCAAGCTACTTCAGCTTATTTTCAGATACTTACTGTTTTGATGAAAAAAAAAATAAGAATGGATAGTATGCATAAACAGAGAAAAACTTACCTTTTTCACTTGATACTCTTTTTACCCTGGCATGTTGCACAACTTACCAACCGTACTGCAGCAATGGCATTTAAGTCCACCACAGCCATTCTTGATAAACTGTCCAGTGCATTCTTTCCTCTTGCTAACGCATTGACCTTGGCACCCGTTTTGTTGGCACTTTGGTGCGCAACAAGTACATTTCTTCTTTTTCTTGCATCCCCCCTTTATTGTCCTCTCTGTTCCATCGCATGATTTCTTGCACACTCCATCATAACGGCTACACTTGCTTTTTGCCTCACATATTCCTAGAAATGAGAGATAGAGTAAAGATGAAGCTTTATATTTTATAAGACTAAAGTGATATCCTGTTGCCCTTTTCATTTAAGAAACTACTTTTTTGCCATATAATCCTTAATTTGCAGAAAACAAAATTGTCAACTTACCACAGCAAGTGCAGTCGCCACTACATAGGGTAGAATCACCATTTTTATTACACTTCGTCTTGCACTTTCCTCCTTTCATAGTGCAATCATCATTTGACGTACATTTGCCTTGTTTTACCTTGCTTGGTGTGAAATTTTGGTTTTGCTGTCCCTTTCTGGGTCCCCTCGGCCCCTTTCCTTCACTTGAGTCGTCCTTTTCAACCTTCGCGTTGCCCTTTTTTAGTCCAATGGGTTTGACTTTATCCAGAAAAAAATAGAATGATATCATATATATATATTATATAAATATATATATATATTTTTTTACTGCATTTTTATTATATATATATATATATACACACATACACACATACACACATACACACATACACATATACACATACATACATATGTATATATATGTATGTATATATATGTATGTATAAATATATGTATGTATAAATATATGTATGTATATATATGTATGTATATATATGTATGTATATATATGTATGTATATATATGTATGTATATATATATATATGTATATGTATATATATATATGTATATATATATATGTATATATATATGTATATATATATGTATATATATATATATGTATATATATATGTATATATATATATATATATATATATATATATATATATATATATATATATGTATATATATATATATGTATATATATATATATATATATATGTATATATATATATATGTATATATATATGTATATATATATGTATATATATATATATGTATATATATATGTATATATATATATATATATATATATATATATATATATATATATATATATATATATATATATATATTTCATTTAGATAAATAGTTACCTTTGGTGCAGCACACACATCTCTTGCCACACCTGGATCCCCGCCCTTCCTCCGCACACCTTCGCCTCGGAGTGCAAGTTCCGACGTCGCACGATGCCGTACATTTAAGTGCTGTCCTGATTGTCCCCGTCGGGTCATCGGTCGTTACTGGAGAGAAAGTATGAGAACATTCAGTCTTTGAAAACTGTTCCAGTAATCACTAACTGTCATCAGAACAGTTATTTACGAGGGACGTAAGCATATGCATAACCTAACAGCGGAATGCCATTGGTTTTATGTGAGGATTCACTTTGCAAGTTGAAGGTATATTAATCTTTCGCATACTGAATATCTACAGGCACTCATTTACTAATTTGAGTTTCGTCTGTGATTGATGATACTGGCGGGGACGATTTATATGATGTTAATAGTATGTTTTTAGAAAAGGAACCGTGTGTGGTTATGCGCGCGCGAAAACACACACGAACACACACACGAACACACACACACACACACACACACACACACACACACACACACACACACACACACACACACACACACACACACACACACACACACACACACACACACATATGAAAGGTAAAACACTCCCGTGTTGAAAACCCCACAACGTACAAACTGGATTTTAATAAATTTTAATTTTTACCATTCATTATGAACCCCACGATTGTGTTTTTTTTTACCATATATATGTATGTGTGTGTGTGTGTGTGTGTGTGTGTGTGTGTGTGTGTGTGTGTGTGTGTGTGTGTGTGTGTGTGTGTGTGTGTGTGTGTGTGTGTGTGTGTGTGATAATAATAACATTTATAATAACAATATTGATTTTAATCAGAGGAATAATAGAAAGTTTATAGAAATAATGATATTGAGAACTATGTATGAATAGAACCATTATTATCTGTAGAATACAATATCAGAAATAAGCCCCTGCTCTGAGCACAGACATCAATATGCAATATTGGAGCCACGCCTTAGCATGCCAGAGAAACAGAGACCGGCCGCTTATCTATTCCTTTACAGTAACTAAAACACACACACACATATATGTATATATTCAGACCGCAATTACAAAGCAGTGGCGCGTACGTGGTCTCACCAAGATGGCGGCGATCAAAATATTCCGGCTTCAAATTTTGGCGCGTACAAAGAATAGGTTGCTCGATCGAAGGCAACAGGAACCTACTTCAGCACTTCTTCCTAGTCAATTAACGATCTATATCTCAGAAGAACACCCGGAACAGGGTGAAGGATCTCACTATTGGGCGACAGCTGCTGGAACATCAGCAACAGAATTGCTGTGATGCACGTGGTCACAAGGAACATTTAGGTCATTGTCACAGCTGTTCATTTCTGATCTGTCTGTCCTTGATGAGGATGTACACGTCACAGGTGTTCAATTCTGTTTTTTTTTCCATTGATGATGCACACACACACAACACACCCACACATGCACACACATGTACACACACACACACATGTATATATTATGTGTGTGTGTGCACATA